TCCAATAAAGTTGACTAGAACCCAGCTAACAAAAACATACACTCAAACAAAAAGAATAAACATACCAATCTTACAAAAAAGCATAAAACTTCAATATAGTTAACATTTAATATCCAACTACAAAGGGATAGAGAGAAAGACTTGTTTTTGTGTGTGTGTGTGTGTGTGTGTGTGCGTGCGTGTGTGTGTGTGTGTGTGTGTGTGTGTATGTGTGGTTTTCTTTTCTTTTTTTTTTTTTGGACAGCGACAAGGGAGGTGTGAATGGGCTTAGAGCAGAAGGTTGGAAATTGGATATACATAAGTAGGGTAAAATTTTAGGAGGGGGTAAACAGACAGAATTGGAGAAGGAAAGATAAATATAGACTGTAGAACACTAATCTTGAAGTAAAAAAAAAAGCAAATAATATGACACTTAAAAAAATAATAAAAATAAACAAAAGAAAATAAGATAAAAAAAGTAAAATAGTAGTACCCTGTTTCCCCAAAAACAAGACAGTTTCTTATATTAATTTTTGCTTCTAAAGATGCACTAGGTCTTATTTTTAGGGGATGTCTTATTTTTCCATAAAGAAGAATATGGTACACATTTATTGTTAAATGAAAAGAAAGGAAACTTATTACCTGTATATGGTACGGTAATATGGTAGTTGTCAACACAAACCAGACAAACTGTGAATCCTACAGTATCAAGAATTTACTCATTTATTCAATGACAATCATGTCATCATCTTCTGGAACATCATCATAATAATCCAATTCCTGAATTTCCTGGTGAATTTCTTGTGACTCCATTTCTTTCAGAATCAGTGGACCAAATCTCTCATGTTTAGCCTGGGGGGGGGGTGCTTATTTTTTGGGGGATGCCTTATATTTCACTCAGATGGAAACCTGTAAGTAGGTCTTATTTTCGGGGGATGTCTTATTGTCGGGGAAACACGGTAGTAATAATGTTGATTACATATACAATGTAATAATTAAAAAGGTAAAATCAAGTGAGGAAAAAAGAAAAAATTAGTTTCTTGAGTAAACGTTGCAAATAATGAAAAAACAAAAAACAAAATTTAAAAAATTAAATAAAATTTGCAGTAATGAAGGTCATTCACTTCCTTTATCCTTCTGTTTGGCACACCTGTTTCCGAGTCCAGACAGTATTGCAGTTCTCTGCATTTCACTGCTCCTCAGTGTTGTAATCCAGTCCTGATTTTTAAGCAGGTCTTGCTTTGATTTTTTTTTATTACACTAGGGTCAATTTGTGATTTAGCCTCTGGGTGGCAGTGTTTCTAGGTTGACTTCCAGGGTTCTAAAGCCTCTCTAGCTTTTTTTTTATCTCTGTGGCACTGATCTGTGGAGGGTGGGGGTGGGGGGGCAAGTCCAAGCCAACTGTACTCCCCTGTAATTTTCAGATATCCCTCCGAGTCAGATCCAAACATGTTACTCTTTATATATTTCCCCTATTAGGAGCCCCATCCACATTCACGGGTGACACCCGCCCAACAGCCAGGGGTTTCTACTTGTAAACACTGCCCCTGTCCTCCAGTTTCCGCGCGCCCGGTGTGCACGGGCTTCTATCTTCCCCTCTGGGACTCACTCACCCTCTCCCATGAAATCAACCTTTTTGCCGGGCAGTGGGGCGTTCCTTTGAGTCCAAGTATTCGCGCTGCCTGGGATCAGCATTCTGGGGCTCCCAGCTGCTTGGTGGTCTCTGTGGCTGTGGATATTCAGGCCTCTGACACCATCCAATGTTACTTTCAAGATGGCGAGATTTCCCCGTCCAAGCCCGTAGGTAGCTCGGGGAAGGGACCCAGCCACACCATGGGTGCTTCCCTGTCAAGGGCACCCTGGTCAGCAGACCCCCAGTTTCTTCTGGTGTTCAGCTGTCTCTTGGCTTGCTAACAAACACTCCCAGCACAACCCTCAGCTGCTCTCTCTTTCTGCTTTGAGACAAGGCTCAGAGTGCACCTACCTATTCTTCCCCCAGTTTTTCTGAGGAGGAGTTTTTATTATTAAGACAGTGTGGCATTGACCTAAAGATAAACATATAGGTCAATGGGACAGAATTCGGGAGCTCTATTGATGTGGTGGTAAAGTGGTGTGGAGGGGAAGCAGTCTGTCATCTGATATTAAATCTCATTCTCTTAGTGGCCTGAGCCCCTAGGCTATGACCTTCAAAAGTGTTCCTGGGTGTGAGAGGAAGGTTATAGAGAGGCTGAAGAGCTAATCATCATTCTCCTGAGTCAGCCAGGATTCTGGCAAAGTCTTCCCACTTGAGAACATTCTTTGTTATGGAGAATGCACTGGGTACGTATATTTTAAAATGGCCACTTTTCCTCTCATTTCTTCCCCAAACATGAGGGAATTTTTCTTGCAACTGCAAGAACCTGAGGAGGGCCAAAACTGGTTTGGCTCAGTGGTAGAGCATCGGTCTGTGGACTGAAGGGTCCCGGGTTCGATTCTGGTCAAGGGCATGTACATTGGTTGCGGGCACATCCCTGGTAGGGGGTATGCAAGAGGCAGCTGGTCAATGTTTCTCTCTCATCGACGTTTCTAGCTCTCTGTCCCTCTCTCCTTCTCTCTGTAAAAAATCAATAAAATATGTTAAAAGAAAAAAAAAAAGAAAGAATAAAAAAGAACCTGAGGAGGGTGGTGGGGAAGGAGTTCCTAGAGGTAAAACACAGAAAAACCTTCTAAGACTGGCCTCCAGCTAATCCACCTTCATCCTTTAGCCATTTGTCAGTTATAACTCCAGCACTTTCTGCTTATGGTAATATGATTTTGGCTGTGGTTCTCTCAATCTGCTTGTCTCTCTAGCTTTCAGGGTTGTGGCTTGCCCTGTCACCTCAGTTCTCTGATGGATCTAAGAAATGTTGTTGATTTGCAGTTTGTTCAGTTCAGCTTTTATTCCTATTACTAGAGGCCCGGTGCACAAAATTTGTGCACAAGTGTGTGTGTGTGTGTGTGTGTGTCCCTCAGCTCAAGCTGCACCCACTCCAATCTGGGACCCCTAGGATTCGGCCTAAACTGGCAGTTGGATATCCATCTCAATCCAGGACTGCTGACTCCCAACCGCTTGCCTGCCTGCCTGATCACCCCTTAACCCCTACCCTGCTAGCCTGGTTGATGCCTAACTGCTCCCCTGCCAGCCTGGTTGCCCCCGACTGCCTTCCCCTGCTGGCCTGATTGTCCCCAACTGCCCTCCCTGCAGGCCATCTTTTGGCAGTCATCTTGTGTCCACATGGGGGCACCCATCTTTTATTGATTTTAGAGAGGAAGGGAGAGGGATAGAGAGAAAGAAACATCAATGATAGAGAGAATCATTGATTGGCTGCCTCCTACACACCCCCTGCTGGAATTGAGCCCTTAACCCAGGCATGTGCCCATGGCTGGAATCGAACCTGGGTCCCTTTAGTCTGCAGGTTGATGCTCTATCCACTAAGCCAAACTGGCTGGGGGGCACCCATCTTTGACCACATGGGGGTGGTCATCTTGTGTGTTGGAGTGATTTGAATATTACGTCTTTATTATATAGGATGAGGATAGGAGTGATGACTTCTAGTTCTTTATATGCCAGAGAGGAAAACAGAAGCCAACAAGAGCTTTTATTATTTTTAATTTAATTAATTTTAAAATATGTTTTTCTTTTTTTCTTTTCTTTAAAAAAAATATATTTTATTGATTTTTTTACAGAGAGGAAGGGAGAGAGATAGAGAGCTAGAAACATCGATGAGAGAAGAACATAGACCAGCTGCCTCTTGCACACCCCCTACCGGGGATGTGCCTGCAACCAACGTACATGCCCCTGACCGGAATTGAACCTGGGATCTTTCAGTCCACAGACCAATGCTCTACCACTGAGCCAAATCAGTTTCGGCAAAAAAAATATGTTTTTCTTTTACAGAGAGAGGAAGGGAGATGGAGAGCGAGAGAAACATTGATGCTTGAGAAACATTGATTGGCTGCCTCCTGCATGCACTCTACTAGAAATCAAGCCTACAACCAGGGCATGTGTCCTTACTGAGAATCAACTCGGCCACCTTTTGGTCCTGGGATGACACTCAACCAACTGAGCAACAATGGCCGGAGCAACAGGGGCTTTTAAAAAGGTAGTTTATGCTGAAACCGGTTTGGCTCAGTGGATAGAGCGTCGGCCTGTGGACTGAAAGGTCCCAGGTTCAATTCCAGACAAGGGCATGTGCCTTGGTTTTGGGCACATCCCCAGTAGGGGGTGTGCAAGAGGCAGCTGATCAATGATTCTCTCTCATCGATGTTTCTGACTCTCTGTCCCTCTCTCTTCCTCTTTGTGAAAAATCAATAAAATATATATTTTAAAAAAAGATAGTTTATTTTTTCACAAAAATGGAGCCAATCCTGGGCAGGTAGGGCAGTCTGTGATCATCTGGGACCCAGAGTCCTTTTATCTTGCCATTTTGGCATCCTCAACATGTGGCTTTCACCTTGTGTTTGGAAATGGCTTCTCCATTTTGAACCATGACATGGTCTTCCAGCTATTCTCCAGGAAGGAAGAAGGGGAGAGGGAGAGAAGGGCATAGTACTTTTCTTTAAGATAACCTTGTTCTTTAAGGGTACTTCCTTGAGGTTGCTCTCCCTACTTCTGATTCTATCTGAAGTAGTAGACCCTGAGTTCAAATGGCTGCACAAGCTGAAGTGGAGGTTGGGAGATATAGCTTTAAGTTGGATATGTCATTGAAGAATGGACAGCAGTTTCTACCACAACAGTGTTCCAAAGGTTACCTTCCATTCTCAAAGGCATCTATGACAGCAAGTGGCTTAAGAAACTCTGTTTTACAAAATGGCTGCGAGTCGGGGTCATGGTCTATCAGCATCACATTGGCACTGGGATCAGCGTACCCAGATTATGTTGGTTAAGCAGAATCTTACTCGCCTCACTCACCTTTCCTGAAGGCTCGCTAAAGGTCAGGCTTTGAACTGATAATAAGCTGATCCCAACCTACCCTCAAATCATGACTTCTCTTCTCTGGCAGCTTCCCCAGAGTGCACCTTGTTTCAAGAACAAGCCACGGTGAAAAATGATGGCGACAAATATATTTTGTGTAAGGCATATGGGTTCTATCCAGAGGACATTACCATAACGTGGTATACATGGACCCAGAAGAACCAGGAGATTTCTGCAGTTATCACCACTGGTCCAGCCATCAAGAAGGAGGACGGCACATTTAACATCACCAGCCGTGTGAGGCTGGAACACAACGTGACCACCTACCAATGTGTGATAAGTCACAGATCCTTGCCCACCTCCTGTAGGTTGAACTTCACCCAGTTTTGGAGAGGTAAGCATCCTCTAAACGTTTCCCTTACTCTTCACTTTGACGGGGTATAATGTAACATTGAAGTTCCCATGTAGGCCAAGATGGGGGCTAATGGGGAAGGAGAGAAAGCTTGGTTTGGCCTACTTCAGCCCCAGAGCCAGCAGTCCAGACTAGGTCCCTACGCCAGGGTGAATGGCCTAATAGGTGGAAAGTGGTGACAAGAGTCCCCAGGGTTGCTGTTAACTTATGGCAGCTTAAGGATCTGGGTGGTCTATATGACCTGGAATAGAAAGCCTGTCAGCTACGAGGAGAAAGGGGATAGGATCCTGTCCATGCCCCCTGAGGATAGGGGTCTATCAGGGGCCAGAGACCCAACCCTCAGCAACTCTTCTGGCCAGGCTCCAGGGCCACTGCAAACTGTTGGCTGGTAGAGGGCAGATCAGTAGTTCTGTGACCAAGCTGGGGAGTCCATAGTAGGGAGTCCTGCAAATGCCAAGGCCTTTCCTCAGGCACACTAGATCCTGAGCTTAAGATAATACAGAACCCAGCTCACTACAGAACCCTGGTGAGGTTAATTGAGCTCATATCTTGGTTCCATGGTCATGGCTCTGGTCCTGGGGGGGAATGACCCTGCAGGTCAAATGCATCTGCCTAGAGCTGAGAGGGGTTAGGGATACAGGGGCTGACTGGTTTTGCCAGATGGGGCCTGGGGTGGCCCTGGAGGGAGAGAGGAATTGCTTTTGGAAGCAAGGGTCAGGGATTTGTATGAGCGTGATGTGTTTAGGATATGTGTGGCACATGGGAAATATGGAATTGAAATATGATTTAGGTGAATAATCTCTCATATAAAAGGCCCATGGCCATTAGGCCATAATTCTGTCACAACCAAATGAGCATAGGGTAGGGGACTGGTGAGGGGGGTAGTGGGGGCAAGGCATGATCTACTAGTGGTGATGGGTGGGGCGGCCAGCTGAGGCAAGTGAAAGCAGCTACCCCCACAAGATTTTCTGCAAGCTGGGCCTCTAGTATAAAATAAGAGATTTGTGTTGGTGACTCGTGGCTGCTATAATAAATTGCCACAGACTGGGTGGCTTATAATCAACAGCTTTATTTCTCACAGTTCTGGAAGCTGGAAGTCTAAGATCCGTCTGCCAGCATGGCTGGTGAGGGCTTCCTTCTCGGTCACACGTATCCTCACATGGTGGTAGGGATGAGGGAATCTCTCCAGGGCCTCTTATATAAGGGCACTAATTATTCATGATGGCTCCTCCCTCATGACCTAATGATATCCCAAAAGCTCCACCTCCTATTATAATACCATCACATTGGGTATGAGGATTTCAACATATGAATTTTGGGGGACACAGATATTCAATATATAGCAACATATAGTGATGTAAGATGGTAGAGTGTGGAAGCTTTGGACATGTGCATGGCATACATATGTGGTAGGAAGTGTTTGATATTGCCATGTATTTCTGGAAGATGCTAAACACACTATTTGATGTGTGGAGGTGTATGTGATAGGGATAACAAGAAGTGTGGCAGAGGATTGGTGGTTATATCTATGACAGGGAAATGACACACGATCACAGATATCTTAGTTGTTTGTGTGATTACTGGGCCCTGCCCATTGGTTTCCTTTTAACATTTGCCTCCTCTTTCTGCAGAATCTGAGATGGGAAATACCTGGGGCCCTATTGAGACTTCTTTTGTTGCTATTGGCTGTTTTGGAGTAGTAGCAGCAGCAATCATTCGACTGATTTATTGTTACAAAAAGAGGTAAGGGGGATGCCAAAGCAAAGTGTAGCCCTGTGTTTTAGAATTGGCTCTGGGAGTTCAGGGGCCTTTGCCAGTAAGTGATATTTGAGAGTTCTCAGGATCGATGCCGGGGGGAATCTCAGTGTGGTATGTGTGTGTGTGGTGTTTGGCTTTTTCTGATGCTGTGTCAGGGAAGAAAGTTCTTCTTAGATCCTTATGTGGTAGCTTGCAACTCTGAGGAGCTGCACTGTAAGGCCCCTCTGCCTCTTCCTGACATACAGTCTCACTGTGAACCAGGCCTCACTGTATTCATTCAGACCAGCCTTTGAACTGTGTATGGGCTGCAATGTTGTTCTCACACATAGAACTACAGCTCAGAGAGGGGAATTCCTTCCCCAGGTGCTCACATTTTGTTAACAGCTTAAAGGGATAGCTTACAACCAGATTTCACCATTAAATCAAGAGTTCCTAGCTCTCATTGGTGTTTCCAAACTATTTTTTTTATCTTGATGGTGGTCCAAACAGCACATAAAACAACTCAAGGAAAAGAAGTCTAAGAGACTAGTGTAAACATTTTGCTTAAAATGGTTCTAGATATTAAATTGCCCTCAATTTTTTAGGGCCTCCAAGGCAGAATCTGTGCAGTAGCTAATACATCTCATTAGAAATGCTGGTACATGGTCCTGGGGAAATCACTTTATAGAGCTGGTCTTCTAAGTGGGTTTTAAAATTTATTCTTCTATTGAAGTTTTTAGGTCAGTTATGAAGTTTGACTAAATTTACAAATAAACTTGTTTGTCCAACTTAAAAAAAAAGAATGCTTTAGGAAAATTAGAATAATCAGTTAATAAAGAAAAAAGGCTGTTTATCTAAAGTTGGCCAGTGATTCATGGGAATTTTCTTTAAAAAAAAATTTATTGATTTCAGAGAGGAAGGGAGAGAGATAGAAACATCAACAATGAGAGAGCAACATTGATTGGCTGTCTCCTGCATGTCCCCTCATTGGGAATCAAGCCCACAACCCAGGCCCTTAACTAGAATTGAACTCAGGACCATTCAGTCTTCAGGCCAATGCTCTATGCTCTGAGCCAAACCAGCTAGGATGGGACATTTTCTTCTGATTGGGGTTAGGCCAATGTGAAAACTGGATATAAAGGGGTTTTCAAATGATTCTTGTGATATTTGTGATTGTTCTCATATTTCTGACCTTCCTCTGGTTTCTGATATCTAGTACTGTCACTGTTAGCAGACATTTCACATTGAAAAAAGAGACTACTAACCTCTTCATAATCATTCTGGATTCTGTCGTGGTTTGTAATGAAGACTCCAGGCCTCCAACCTTCCCTAGTATTTATCCTTTGCCATGTAACTTTTTAAAAATATATTTTTATTGATTTCAGAGAGGAAGGGAGAAGGAGGCATGTACAGAAACATCAATGATGAGAAGCCATGTAACTTTTCAGTGCCCTCCATTCCTATTGGGTCGGCAGCTAAGTAATTGCGGATTTTTTAAAGAAAATCAAAGACAATTTTTTCATGGAACTAAATAACTTTATTCTGTAATGTATTGCCCATTTTGATCAATGACCTTTTGCCATCTTTCAGGCAGCATCATAATCCCACGTTCAAAAAACTTCTGGTTTTTATTAGCAAAAAACTGAATCAGGTACGATTTGACATCATCATCATTATTGAAATTTTTACCATTCAAGGAGTTTTGTAAAGATCGAAACAAAAAGTAATCAGATGGTGCAAGGTCAGGACTATATGGTGGATGTGGCAAAACATTCCAACCAAGCTCCATTAATTTTTGCCGAGTGACCAAAGATGTGTGTGGCCTTGCATTGTCACGATGGAATACAACACCTTTTCGATTTGTCAATTCGGGCCGCTTTTCTTCAACTGCATTGTTTAATTTCGTTAGTTGTTCAATGTAGACATCAGAATTGATCGTTCGGTTTGGTGGTAAGAGTTCAAAGTAGACAATTCCTTTGTAATCCCACCAAACTTATAACAAAACCTTCTTTTGATGAATATCAGCTTTTGATGTTGTTTGAGTTGGTTCACCTGGCCTGCTCCACGATCTTTTCCGCTTGATATTGTTATAAACAACCCATTTTTCATCGCCAGTTATCAGTCGTTTTAAAAATGGATCATTTTCATTATGTTTCTTTAGCAAATCGCAGCTGCTAATGCGTTGCGTTAACTGTGATTCTTTCAGTTCGTGAGGAACCCATGTATCGAGTTTTTGAACATAGCCAAGTTGTTTTAAGTGATTTTCAATGCATGTATGTGATACATGAAGCTTCTCTGCAATCTCACGTGTTGTACTGTGACAGTCCGAATTGATTATTGCTTTGATTAGGGCGTCATCAACTTCAACTGGACGACCAGAGCGTTTTTCATCTTTGAGTGAAAAATCACCAGAACGAAATTTGGCAAACCAATTTTGACACTGCTGTTCTTTTAAGGCTTCGTCACCATAAACAGCACATAACTTTTTATGAGCTTGCGATGCGTTTTTCCCTTTGCGGAAATAAAAAAGCAAAATATGACAAAAATGTTCCTTTTGATTTTCCATTTTTCAACGAATGCCAAACAAAAACTACAAAACAGATCAAAAAACTTTTTTTACTGATTAACAGCTGAATAGCCAACTATCAAATAACAAAATGTGTTTTACATTTGTACTACGTCTGCAAACCTAAAAATTCAACTAAAGCCATATATGTGTAAAACCCGCAATTACGTAGTTGCCGACCCAATAGGTCTTAACATAGGGCTCAACCTTGTGACTTGCATTGGCCAATAGAATGAGATAGAAGTGAAAGAGGCCTTGCGTATTTCCATTTGCTTTCTTTTGTGCTGACATTAGTAAGAGGAGGATTCTAAGCCTGAGGAAAGATGAGAAATCTGAGGCCAGTGCTAGTTGCTCTAGAGGAGGTCAGTCTTCAGTAAGACCTCACTTCATATCATACCTAGGTTCAGCAACTTGAAACAAAACGACATATAATCAAGCTAAGTTTACTATATGCTAACCAATATAAATAAGAGGCAAGTTTTCATGGCATCTCATCCACATTATGGAGGACATTAACCAAAACAATGTTTTTTTGAGAACCAGCTATAGATTAGGCGACAGCCATCAGTTCCTAGACATGTGAACAAATCTAACTGAGATCATCACCATCAACAGGGTCGACTCTCGAATGTGTGAGAAATAAATCTTTATTATTTTAAAGCCACTGTTTTAGGCTTGCTTGTTATATAGCAAAAACTAACTGATACAGCTCCTCAGAGAGCTGAGTTTTGACCAAAAGTGGTTGCTCTGGACTATGAGAGAGTCTGCTATGAAGCATGCACCCAGGTAACATGTTCTACCTGTGCCATCTCAGGGATCTGCTGCTGTCCTAACCCTAAGGAGGTCCAGCTAGTGCCTGAACGAAGCAGAAGTCTTTGGAGGTCTCTGTAGAGTGGCTGAGACTTTCTCAGAGTTGCACTAGAATCTGAAACTCTTGCTTCCCAATCCTTTCTTTTTCCTTCCTTAACAGATATCAGATCTACATCATGACGTAAAGGCTTCCCCTCACTTACTTCTGTGCCCTCTTTCATAGGCACTACTCCCAATAACTCTTTCCTATTTCTAACACATTTAGAAAGCTGCTTCTCAGGAGTCACGATCCAGTACCACAAGAAGAGACTAAAGATTTGGAACTTGATGCATTCATGATGTCTTCAGATGGAGGATGGAGTGAGGCAGTTCTTACACAGATGGATAACAAAAACCACATGCTTTCTCAGAGAACGTGTAAGTAACTGACATTACTTTTCCTGATGACTGCCACAGCTTACTCAAGAGGAGACTGTTCAAGCTGCTTTCCTGGATATCCTCTGGCCAATCATCTCTTTCCAAGAAAAGAAGAAAGCAACACTTTACAAGAAGTTATACAAATGGCCAGCATGGATATAAAAAGGTGCTTAACATCGTTAATCCTCAGGGAAATGCAAATCAAAACAATGAGACATCACTTCATGCCTCTTGGAATATCTACTATCAAAAAGACAAGAAATAAGTAGTAGTGGCAAGGATGTGGTGAAAAGGGAAGATGTGGGTACTGTTAGAGGGAATATGCAATATATTTATATTTTAAGATAAATATAAAAATAAGTTTTCTGAAAACAGCATGGAAGTTCCAAAAAAATTAAAAATGGAACTACCGTATGATCCAGCAGTTTTACTTCTGGGCATTTATCTGAAGGAAAGGAAAATTCAAACTTGACAAATTATCCGTACCTCTATCTTTATTGCACCATTACTTACAATAGCCAAGACATGGAATCAACTTGTGTCATCGATGGTTGAGGGGATAAAGAAAATGTGATACACTCCTACACACACAGTCATGTGCCACTTAACAAAGGGGATGCATTCTGAGAAATATATTGTTAGGCAATTTCATTGTTGTGTTAACATCATTGATTATACTTACACAGACCTAGATGATATACTAGTAGCCTATTGCTCCTGTACAGTCAGACTGCACTAAAATCATAAAACAATATGAGACCAAATCAAGCAGAAGAGAGAATGATATCAAGAGACACAGTCAACAGGCTAGGCTGCTGCTAATGTAACTCCACATACTGTTTTTCAGAAAACTTATTTTTATAGATAGAAAGAGTACACTCAAAAATAGCAGTAAAAGGTCCTAGCCAGGTGGCTCAATTGGCTGGAGTGTTGTCCCATACACCAAAAAGGTTGTGGGTTCAATTCCTGGCTAGGGCACATACATAGAATGCAGGTTGGGGCAGGTATAGGAGGCAACCAATCAATATTTCTCTCCCAATTCCATGTTTTTCTCTAAAATCAATAAAAACATATTCTCAGGTGAGGATTACAAAAATAGCAATAAAAGCATAGCATAGTAAATACATGAGCCAGGAAAAATCATTTATATCGTTATCAAGTATTTTGTATTGTGCATAATTTTGTACACTTTTGTATGACTGGCAGCACAGTAGTTTGTTTACACCAGCATCACCACAGTAAGTCTAATTTAAATTCATCACCTTGTGAATAACTCATTGTTAGGATGGCTATGACTTCCCAGGTGATAGGAAGGTTTTTGCTCCCCTATGAGCTATGGGTCCACTATTGTATATGTGATCAGTCCATTATTCCTTGAAACATCATAATGAGGCATATTACTGTGCACACAATGGAATATTATTTAGGCATAACAAAAGCAAATCTTGCAATTTGTGACAAAGCGATGGACCTTAACAGTAGTATTTTAAGTGAAATAAAAGAAAGATCTATATAATCTCACTTATATGTGAATCTAAAAAAGTACCCTCCTCCCTCCCATGAGCTCATAGATACAGAGAACAGATTGGTGGTTGCTTGAGGTTGGGGACAAGAAAGGGGAGACATGAGTGAAGGGGATCAAAAGACTTTGAGTTTTAAATAGGTCATGGGGATTTTATAGCACAGTGACTTGAGTTAATAATGCTGTATTGCATATCTGAAAGTTGCTAAAAGTAAATCTTAAAAGATCATCATAAGAAAAATATTTGTAACTGTATGGCGATGAATTTAAATTAGACTTACTGTGGTGATTATTTTGCAATATATACAAATATCACATTTTATCTTGTCCACTTGAATCTCATATATGTCAATTATACCTCAAATAAAAAAAAGGGGGGGGGTAGGAGAAATATATATTTAAATATATATTTAAATATATATTTAATATATTTTATTGATTTTTTACAGAGAGGAAGGGAGAGAGAGAGAGAGTTAGAAACATCAATGAGAGAGAATCATGTATCAGCTGCCTCCTGCACACCTCCTATTGGGGATGTGCTTGCAACTCAGGTACATGCCCTTGACTGGAATCAAAACTGAGACCCTTTAGTCCGCAGGATGACTCACTATTCACTGAGCCAAACTGGTTTTGGTGAAAGCCATATTTTACTAGCTGCAGATTGTGACCAGTTTCCATTTTATATTCTATTGATGTTCAGTAAGTTCAATCTGTACATGTCAGTATATATGAATAAAAATATTTCCCTTTATTAATGGCTGAGTTATTCTTTGATAGAACATATGTGATTTATCTCCTACCTCATGATTAGTAAAGAGTGGAGCTTAGAATTTTAATCAATATTCCATACTAGAGGCCCGGTGCACAGGTTTCGTGCACTGTTGGGGCTGTGGCCTGTGGGGATAAGCCCGCTGTGGCAGCACCTCTCATCCTCCAGCTGTGGACCCACACTCTGAGCAGCTGCTCCCTGGTCCAGCATCTTCCGTGGAGCCAGAGCACTCACCTCTCCAGGGGACCAGGTCAGGCTGGGCTCAGGGAGGATAGCACTGAGAGGCAGTGGAGTAGACCTCAGTTCTGTGGCAGCCACAAACCTGCCTCTGGGGTCAGCTCTGTGAGCTTGGCAGTGGTGCTGTAAGGCCTGAGGGTGTCTGGAGGAGGTGGCAGGGAACAAGGAGGAGGAGCCTGGGGCAAGGAGGCCATTGCAGCCTGGGTTTCTGCCTGTTAGCCTGAGGTTTGCAGAGCTAGCAGCAGAAGCAGCTTATCCTGGATTCTCACTTTGGAGATCTATAACTTTGGAAATCAATGATGTATAATTATGTTAAACCTCTTGTTAATCAAAGATAAAGATACGTAATTTAAGTATAATCTTATTATAATTTTGTTTTGAGTTACTATTGCTGGGGGTGAGGGGAATCCTTTAAAGGAACTGCATTCAATAACAACCCCACAATATAGCCATATGGATGAAATCTTAAACTCAGCAAAGAATGGTATTTAAGATTATTTTAAGGTATTTCCCCTGAATAACAACATAATGCCTCAACTTCCAATTAAAAATATCAACCTAGTCCTCTCGTCTCTCATTCACTCCTAACTAGACCTTCTTTTAAAGGCAACTATCGATTACATGGTTAGATTGGATGTGCATTAACCCACAAACCCGAATGAGCCAAAAGCCCAGCGATGTGTAAAACCCAAGAGGCACCCTGCAAGGCTGACCTGGGGAAGCGCTTCCTCCTTCCTTATTTTATGAAACCATGTGATCACCTCTGGAGATGAAAACTTTTGGTTGGAAGCGTACAACCAGGATGTGTACCTGGAAGAACAAGAGTAAAAGAGCACTACATCGTGTTCCACAACACATACTGAGATTATGAAAACAGAATCTACTTATTGAAAGAAGAGGACACGACTAGCAACAGAAACATAAAACACAGGAAGAAAGACTAAGAAGCACATGGATAAGCCTTAGCCTGTTTCATGCCAACTGCAGGTCTTCTGCTTTGTGTAGGACTTCCGTATCGGTAGTTTAGATGCAATTATTAGGTGTGATGTTCACCAGAGCAGACTCAGTCTCTTTCCCTACCAAATATCTGAATATAGGATAAGCATCCTAACATTGCCACAACCGGCTTGAACTCCAGGCTCTCAAGTGTTGGATGCAGGCCTTTGTAAATAAAGGTGATTTCCCCACTCTTTATTATGTGGACATGAAGTAGTGAAAGACATCCATCTTCCAGCTCTTCCCTGTTTCTGTGGTTTCACAGTGCTGGGCTCCGCATCCCCCTTTGGCCATTTTAACCCAACTTTGGAAATCAAGAAGTTTAGCCTGGTTTCAGACTGTGGTATGCCATCTCTCCCAGTATACAGAGGTTACAATAATCCAAAAGGCAATTTTCGATGTTTTGAAGCATGTGGTGTCTGTTCTACTAATCTTGATCGAGATATTTAAGAGATGACAACAATAAATTCTAATATTGAGGTATATTTACATTGCATGTAACCAACAAACAGAATTATATACATGTTTTTTCTTTCACATATTGGACACTGAAATTGCAGTGGTTCTGACAAACCAGTAAACATATAAACCCAAACTAAAAGTGCCATAAAATATCCAAACCACTATGCTCAATTAATATTTGACAAAGGAGGCATGAACATACAATGGATTCAAGACAGTCCTTCAACAAATGGTGCTGGGAAAATTGGACAGATACATGCAAAAAAGTGAAACTAGATCACCAACTTACAGCATACACAAAAATAAACTCAAAGTGGATACAGGACTTAAACATAGATGGGAAACCATAAAAATACTAGAGGAATCCACAGGCAGGAAAATTTCAGACATATGCTGAAAGAGCTTCTTCACTGATACTGCTCCTAGGGCAATGGAAGCTAAAAAGAAAATAAACAAATGGGACTATATCAAAATAAAAAGCTTTTGCACAGCAAAGGAAACCATCAATAAAACAACAAGAAGCCCCACTACATGAGAGAACACATTTGCCAGTGATATCAATGATAAGGTTTTAATCTCCAAAATTTACAGAGAACTCATACAACTTAACAAAAAGAAGATAAACAACCCAATCAAAAAATGGGCAACTGAGCTAAATAGACACTTTTCAAAAGAAGACAGAAGGAAGGCCAATAGACATATGAAAACATGCTCAAAGTAATTAATCATCAGAGAGATGCAAATCAAAACAACAATGCGGTACCATTTTACACTGGTCAGAATGGTTATCAACAAATCAGCAAACGACAAGTGTTGGCGAGGATGTGGAGAAAAAGGAACTCTTTTACACTGCTGGTGGGAATGCAGACTGGTGCAGCCAATGTGAAGAACAGTATTGAGTTTCCTTAAAAAACTAAAAATGGAACTCCCATTTGACCTAATGATCCCACTTCTAGGAATATTTCCCAAGAAACTAGAAACACAAATCAGAAAGGATATATGCACCCCTATGTTCATAGGAGCTCAATTCACCATAGCTAAGATTTGAAAACAGCCTAAATGTCCATCAGCAGATGAATGGATTAAAAAACTGCAGTACATCTACTCAATGGAATACTATGCTGCAATAAAAAAAAAGTTCTTACCATTTGCAGCAACATGGATGGAGATGGAGACCATTATGCTAAGTGAAATAAGCCAGGCAGAGAAAGATAAACATCACATGATCTCACTAATTTATGGAATATAGTGAATGGCATAGACTGATGAACAAGAACAGACCCAGAGACTGAGTAACATTGATCAGAACCTCAAACCCCAGGGAAGGAGGTGATCGTTGGGAGTAAGGGGGAGAAATCAACCAAGAGACTTGTGGGCATACATATGAGCCTCATCAATGACCACAGATAACATGGGGGTGGAGTATGAGTAGAGGTAGGAGATAAGGGGGGGATAAGAACACATGTGTAAAATAATAAGAATAACAATAATAATAATAATATTAAAAGAGAGAAGAAAGGAAGAGAGAGAGAGAGAGAGAGAGAGAGAGAGAGAGAGAGAGAGAGAGAGAGAGAGAGAGAGAGAGAGAGAGGGAGAAGAAAGTGTGAGGTAACTGGAACCCCAAGAACACCTGAGAACGCCTTTACTGCCATGCTAGCAGGCATCAGCTGTATGGTAATATAACCTGGGGCTATTGGGTAATTATTTCTGGGCTTATGTTCCTAATCCTTCATGGGTGGGAGCCCTTACCTGGCCTGATCCTTCTGCCCAAAGTAGTCACTGATGATACCAAATATCTTGATCATCCAGGAGGACCACAGGTGGGACAAGGAAGTATAATTACATAGGGTTCACCACTCAGTTGCCCTTCTGTATGACAAAAAATTAACACTGCCCCTTTGTTTGTAAAAGTAAAGAGAGGTTTATGGCTTGTGAGGACACCAAAGGAAGGGACCATCACTATTTCCTCCTGGGAGAGGTGTAGAAAATGAAACAAAGACCTTGCCTATTCATAAAGAAATTGACAACCAGTTTAAAAAGGAATTTCCATGGCTTAGAGCAAAAATATCCTTACATGATATTACTCTACAACGTCATTATAATTTTTCCCAGATTTGGGTTATCCCCATTACCTATAATAGTATCAATAAAAAATCATTTATTTAATTTTATTATATATTTGTTGTTGTCGATGCTTGGAGTCAAAGGTAACACAGCTCTAGATATTTTAGAATTACAACAGCATATTGTACAATTATTCCGAACAAACATACAAATCAATCCTTTGAATGTCTGGCAGCAATTTAAAAGTGACATGAAAGGTCTTCATCCCTTCCACTGTGCAGAGGGCCCCCTGGGAAGGCACCTGAGCATTCTATATTGGCCCCTCTAGCCCTTTTGGCCAAAAATGACCCTCTTCTCATGGTCCAGGTGCCCACAACTGTTGCCTTTTGGCCAAAAATGACCCTCTTCTCATGGTCCAGATGCCCACAACTATTGCCTGACCTTTCAGTTCATGCCGAGGCTGAAGCACCATGGTGGCTGGTACCATGGGTCTCTCGCCCGCCCAGTGTGGGGAGCTGGGCCCTCTCTGGAGAAGAAACATGGGTTCCCAAAAATATGAGATCAACGCCTGGGCCTCGCCAGCACGTGAGGGGTTCCCGAGGCAGGTGCT